GAAAAAAAAACTTTGATCGCGTGTCGCAAAAATGAGAAAATCATGCAAGGCAAAAAACTTTTAATAATAATCTACTTCCACGAGTGAAAAAAAAGTGGGACAAGTCAAGGCAGTTCTTTTATTATTATTATTTTGTTGTAATGATAATATTCTTTTCTTTTGTTTAATTATTTATTTATTTATATCGAAGTTGGGAAGTTTAAATTATTATTTTCATTTAGTTTTGTTTTTCATCGACTTTTTTTTTTTTAATTACTCCATAATAATATCGAAAATAAAATTACGTAACGGTTTTTTTTTTTTTTTTTTTTTTTAAATTTCCACGATACGTGCGAAAAAAAAAAAATGTCGATGATGTTGTTGTTGGAATGATTATTGGAAAAATCGAACGGAAACATTTAAATTTGAAAACAATGAAGAGAAAAAAAAATTTGTTATGAATGATGGGATGAATAACGTTTTTTGCGTTTGGAAAAATTCTAAATAATTCGTACGTGGCAGAAGAAATTATTCGAAAATGGTACAAATGGATGATAACAGAATGAAATTCACGTACGGCATCGCGTAAAAATTATGACAAAGGAAAAAAATATTACGAGAGTTATTTGTCTATAGAAAAAAAAAAAATTCTAGAAAGAATTTTAATGTAAAGCAAGAGTATTCAAATCATCGTGGGTGGTCTGGTTTTTATTAGTAAACAAAACAGCAGACGACGATTCGAATCATGTGAAACGTTCCTTATTTAAAAAAAAAAAAAAAAAATTAAAGAAAACATCCGCGTGAAATCATCGAGTATTGTTTTCCTTAGAGAACGAAGGAGAAGCGTGAAAAACGGATGTCGTACTACCAACTGTGAAAAAAACAATCGCGTACGAGAGAGAGAGAGAGAGAGAGAGAGAGAGATTTAACATTAATAATGATAATAAATACGCGTTGCAAAATTTTAAAATCCGAATCGTTTAACCTTCTGATTTTTCGCAACTACCGATAAACCGAACGAGATTTTTTTTTTTTTTTTAAACCTCACCTGAAAATAATTAAGTCACGGTCTTTCTCTTGCCACTTTTTTTTTTTTTTTACGTCACGCGTAAAATAATTTTAATTATTATTATTTTTTTTTTTTTTTTAATAAGTAACGGGGCATTTATAATAATAATAATAATAAAAGGGTATTACAGTTAGTGATAAAAAAAACATGCTTCGCTGTTAATAATAATAAAAAAAATTAAAAAAATCATCGATTTGGAAAGTGAATAAAACTCGTAAAATCCTTTTAAAAAAAAAAAAAAAAAAAAACGGAAACGCGGTTTACGACGGTTATGAAAACGCCTTTTTTTTATAAAACTAGTCGATTAATATTATCATTATTATTATTATTATTATTATTATTATTTCGGGTAACCGTTAATCCAACTCATGCAAAACATCAAAACACACAACACAACTTAAATATTTTTAATATTATAATAGACGGAAGTTTTGTTTTTGTTTTTTTGTTGTTGTTTACTCTAACCATAATCGATTTAAAAAAATTTTGGCGCCAAAAAAAATCGTCGAAAGTACACGTAAGAAACCATTATGTATAAAATGATTCGTTACTGATTGCAATTTTGCAACCACGTTAAATAAAAAAAAAAATTTAATAATGATAATGTCGGCATGATTTTTTTTTTTTTTTTAATTCTTAATGTCACGAGAAATTCACGTTAAAAAAAAAATACGTATGTGTGTGTGTGCGTGCGTGTGCGTGTGTAAGCACGAAATGAGTAAATGTTTGAATACCGTAATGTTAATTGTAAGGAAATTAATTGTTGTTGTTGTTGTTGTTGTTGCTTTTTGACGGTACCTAGTAAATTTTAACGATCGTATTTAATTTTTAATTTCCTCCCCCTCGCCCCCTCCCCTCCCCCGAAAAAAATAAAATAAAAGAAATTAAATGCAATTAAGTACACACGATGAAATGGCGAAAAGAATCGAGTCTTCCTAAGGAAACCATTTAAAAAAAAAAAAAAAAATTAGGAAATTATTTTTAAAAAATGTCCGTAATGTATCCGTGATAAAAACAATCGATAAAATGTCAAAAACGGGGGAGAAAATGGCTCCCCTTATTTATTCAATTCTATAATAAACATTTAAGGGAAAACCAGTGGTGGCAGTGGTGGTGGTTAGTTTACCACTTATGGCATTAGCCATCGCTACCACTTTTCCTACTTTGCGTGATTTAAGGTACATGTCGATGCTCACGTCCGACCTACTACTAAAAAAAATGATAATGATAATGATGATTGTCTTCTACATTCTATTCAATCGGCGTAAAATATCTAAAACCACGTTTTTTTTTTACTCGTAATAAATAATTTTTTTTTTTTTACACTCTCTCCCACGCCACGATCGCCATTTTGATTGATTGATTTGATTATCATTTAAATTTTTCATTGATGTCGATACAGTTTTAGGTTATAAGTGGTTGTAGGTAGTATACGTTAAAAATAGTGGCAGTAAGCAAAAAAAAAAAAAAAAAAAAAAACAATTATTAAATTACGTTAAAAAAAAATTAATTCGAAGGTCATTCATTTATCATACCTTAAACAACAACAACAACAGTCTTTAACTTAATGACAATAATAATAATAATAATAATAATAATAATAATAATAATAAATTAATAATAAGAATTTCAGACAGAAGAAATTGAGTGACCTCCTTTCGTATATACCGGCCATGCCTTTGTTTCCAAGGAGGTCATTACCATTGAAAGCAACATAACGTGATTTCCTAACGAAGTTTTTTTTTTTTTTTTGCGTTTGACCAATGGTTACTTTTTACACTTCCTATATAATAATAATAGTAATAATAATAATAATAATGATATCACACACGTGATGTATTTATGTACATACATACAGTTAATTAATTTCAACTTATATGCAGCAACTGTGAATTTTTGTAAATCTGCATCTGCTCTCCGTCTTTTATTATTATTATATTTTTTAATAACAGTTGTGTCGGACGTCTGTCGGTTTATTTTGGGGGGGGGGGAGGGGGTACGTTAAATGACTAATGTTACGTTTCTTTTTGTTTTTGTCTTTTTTCTCGTTATACGTTTAAAGTTTTGTGTCGTTGTCGTTGTCGTTGTGGTTGTTGTTGTTGTAATTTTCAAGCACGATTTGAATATTAAAATTTTAAAAATGTGACTGCGTGAAAAAAAAAAAACCAACCAATAATAATAATAATAATAATGATGATAACGTAAACGTTTTGTTGTTGTTGTTAAATTATGTATTTCGCGAAACGAATTATTTTATTTTATTTTATTTAAATATGATTGGATACGCTTCGGAATATTTTATCGATAACAATCGAGGGTGAGTTTTATTTATCTCTCTCTTCTTTTTTTTTTAAAAATCACGAACCGCCATAATTATTAGTTCCACGATCGAAATTGAAACTTTACAATA